AGCTTAGAACTGTCAAGCCACACATAAAATATTGATACCTCACATTGGCAGGGTTAATACAGTGTTATTTTAATTGCAAACACACTGTGGGTGATTAGTCAAACTTGGTGTGTCTTGAATTCTAAGATAAAAATGCCTTCTGGCTGGACCTCCTATGCAATTAGCACTATGACCTCATGTGCTCTTCTCTGTTATTAATATGATTGGTCTAATATGAGTATTAGACATCATTCATTAACCTGTTGTGAACCATCTTAAAAACCATCTCTGAATAATAGACTACATTCCTTTTTCTAAATCCATTTACAAGTAAGGAAAGTGAAAAGGATGAAGACGAGCTTTCTCCATTACATTGACTGGTACAGTGTTAAGCAATATGTACTGCATGAAATTATGAAAGAGCAAATTAAATAAGAGGGCATATCTGGCTTATTAGTAATGGATGATCAGGTGCTCATTCTGTTGAATTTCCACCCTGTTCAGAAGATGAATGCATGTGCCAGAACAGAAATATTTTAACAGACCCTGTCTGAAGATAAACCAAATCACATCTGGAAGTTCACTGTTTTGCCAGCTTGCTTTACACTGGGTTTGTTTATTTATTTATTTTTCTTCTCCTTTTTTGCCTACACATTATTTGTTAAAAAATTTGAGATTATTATTAACAGTAAATTAAAGAAAAAGAAAGGAAAGTATTTTGGAGCTTAAGTGCTCTCCTCTGTGCGAACAGGTATTCAGTTAAGAGAAATCAAGTACTCCACTGGCTTCAATGCAGTTATACATTTTACATTAGCTGAGGAAAAGACCCAGTAAAAGAACATTATCTACAATAAGCCAGATTGGATTGTTAACAGGAAATTATTATACATTAGAAAGGTTTCCTGTATCACTAATTTACCTGAGTATTGCTATTTTGCTCCTATGTGAAAGCCCAGCCATTTCCAATTTTTTATCCATCTCATATGCTTGGTATTGTCAGTGTTCCTGACATACGATGTGTGAGGCACCCCTTCTCTGGTCTGCAGAAAAGGTCACACCTGTGGCAAGATATGTGCCTAAAAAGGGTGTTGAGGTTTACTTTATCTGATGGGTAAGGCAAGCCCCATCAGAGAGGAAAAGATTTAAAACACTGCAAGAAGCAGAGGGTAAGATGAAGGATCTTGCCTGGCTCTGCACCTCACTAGGAAGCACACCTGGTTTTGTGAAACTCCACGTGCTCCTTTCTACTTGATGGGCAAGGGGTCAGCTCTGCTCTCTCTGCTGATGTGGTCCTAGAGCCTGGGGCCTGGGATACTGCCCTGCAAATATGTGAGGTGTAGGAATGACAGAAGCAGAAGGATTCTCTTAGAGGTCCAGCTCATAATGCCTGAGTCTTGGCAGGACATACAAGTGAAATAATCTTTAAAGAAGTCAGTGTCCATGTTTCATACTCTTTATTTCTTTAGAGTAGGATTCTGAGGACAAGTCCCCACTAACATAGGACTGAATTTTATATGTTTATAATAGGATTAAACCTTCCTCAGTGAGCATATAATTATTCTAGATATTCCTATTGGAAGGGATAAGAGACAGAAGATTTGCTGATTTTTCTCTCTGATGTCTAGCATGCTATTTCGTTAAGGTATCTTTTAAATCAAACTCCTGAATTACTTGAAGAAGAGGAGTTCAGTGATTGGTTTTGACAAGTGGCCATGAAATACTTGTTAAAGAACTGTGTGTTGTTATCAAATTAGTATTGTGCTGTTTTCACTGAGATTTCCAGGGCCTCTTAGAAAGCCATACCTAATGCTTAAATTAAACATTGAATCATATGACTTCAGCAGAAGTCAGCTACTAATAACATAATTCTTACTGATCTGCTAACAACCTGGAGATCACTTCAATTGTTAAGAATTCTAGCAGTACCAAAATTATCACTGTGTTGAATTATTAATGGTTTGTATCAAAGAATGAGCTTAAATTGCTTTGGTCTTGTGTAAAAATTCTTCTGATCTTTGGCAATCATTATTTATTTACAGCTCCCATACGTTCTCCCTCTTTCACAAAGAAATAGGGTTTCTTAAGTACAGCCAGGAGGCACTGAATTTTCATATGTAGTACTGTCTCTCAGTTAGAAAGACAGGGAAGAACTGCTGGCTTGAAGGTTCAGCAGGCAGCTTTTCCGTGTGAAAGGCAGGTTATCTAAACATTTTTTTCCCCTGAGAGAGATATTCATAATATTTATTCTAAAATACAAATATTAGGGCTCTTTGCTACATGTGAATTATCCTTAGGTATAGTAAATACAGTTCAGGTTAAAATAATATCAGGGCATAGCAACAGCTAGTGTTTACATTTATAAAAAGTACATGTGGAGATTATTGCAGGAAAGTGTTCCTGAATTTATTTAAAAGCCCCCTTTTTAGTTGGATAAAGAATACTTTAACATTTAGACTTGAACCCAAGTTGGCTGTAACTCTAAATGTGGCTTCTATAGAGTATCTCCCTGTTTAATGTGGACATTTTCCCCTAAGTTGGTTCATTTTGCAGAAGGCAGATTAATACCAAATGTCCTGATTTATAAATTACACAGGACTGGATATTTAATTTTTTTCTTTAAATTCAGCTTCAATCTATCAACTAACGTCTTGACAATCCTTTAGAGTCAAAGAGAGATAGGATCACCCATTTGTCACTATTACTTGTCTGTGTCAGACATATAATCACTTGAATCATCTGGTCAGATACAATGAAAATGGAACAGAGAAATAAAAGCCATATTTGAGATACCATTGCAGTTTGTATTTAAATCTTAAAACTGCAACACAATTTCAAATGGTGCATGACATGGCTTTAAAGAGAAAGTTATACAGAATAAATCCCTAAACTTTTGTTTATGAAAATAATTGATGCCATTCGTTGCTTTGAACTGATGTTCTGTTGATAATCTGTTAACTTTCACAACATATACATAGAATTGATTTTCTTCAGAAACAGGATATAACAAATGTTCCAAACAAAATGCCTTTCAAGTTTTCATACAGCAGTTCTCAATTCTGTTAGCTTTTATTTAAAACTGCTTCTACATGAGCAAATTAAAGGAATATGGTTTTTAATTGCTATTCCTTTTGCTCTCTGGAAATGAAACTAGCTGTGAGTAGACTACAAATCCTCAAATAGTTTTATAAGGTTTAACTGAGGATGCACTCAGATTGTTAACAAGGTTTGATAGGTCCAGCACCATGGAAGGGAGAAGCATTAGGAGGCTCATCAGCTACTTAGTGTATGCTACTATCAGACCAGAACAATATAAAACAGCACCAGACTCATCCTTTTTCTAAAATGCTTATTCCTATATTAAAGTTCTATTTTCCCTCTATGGTAGATATTCCTACTGTGTTCCACACTCATACAGGAGGGCTGGTCCTAATTACAACCTCTATAGCAATGCCCCTGGCCTGCTAATTCTTACTCTGTAGAACTCTTTGGGAACAGATTTCAAATATGAACAACTGTTTGCTCTCTCTCTGAAGCAATCTTGCCTATGATAAGTCAGCCCTGAAAGGGTTCACCTGCTTCTTGGAGCAGAAATCCACTTCTCCAAATATATGTTCCACTGAATCACCAAATCCTGGCACAGACATACAGGAAAGGCACATCATTAACAGCAAAAGGCACTGCCTGCTGATAACTCCAGATAACCCATAGCATGCATCTCTATAACCTACTCTAACAGTGAAGTTCTTTCCAAAATGCTCAGTGCTAACCCAGTGTTATTACAACCAAAATAGCAGCAATTAAATTTCCATTGCAAAGAAAATATGAACAAAGCTGAACACTCTTGTAAAAAACCACACCGTTCAGATGGGGAAAGCAGCTTTGAATAGCTGAGAACTCTGTCAAATCAACATCAGTTCTCATCAGACCACTCCAAGGTACTTCTCTTTGCACTAACATAATACATTTCAATTTCTGTCACTATCAGTTTTTCATGCTTAGACAAACAATGCTACATGATTACTTTATATCTCTAAAGACTGATTTTTTTTCCCTCAAACTGTCCCAAATAAAATCTAGCTACACTACATATATCTGCTAAATGTATATAATAGTAAACACTAAATGTATATAATAGCAAAATTAAAACAAAGTGTTAAACAGAAAGTAAACAGCAAGGATGTAGGGAGATTACATCTAAAAATATCTCTAAGTTAAAGACTTCAGAATTTAAGAGTGAAAGCTCAGGGTTAGAATGGAAGCACTTTTGAAATGTTACCTGCAATGGTTATTGCACTGGTTCTACCATTCTCAATTGCAAACTCTCTTATACAATTCCCTATATTCAAGTTGCCATATATATACATTTAAATCCTTTTGTTTATATATGCAATAGATAAAAAGGTTTTGATTTTTTTAAAATTTTTACAGGACTGTAACCTTCATAAAGGTAGCTTCCTCAGATGCTGAAAGAAAATAGAACATCTCTGTCTATTAAAATATACAGATATGTTCAGAAATTTTTTTCCTTTGTTCCCAAGAAATACAATCTTTAATAGATGCTGTTATATGATTCCATGCAAAGAAGCATATTTTATTTTACAATATGCAAATATGCTGCATTTATCAAAAGCAATCCTCATCAAGTTTTCTTTCTTTTGGGAAAATTAAAACATATTTTGCAGCTAACTGTGCAATATTATTGCATCTAATATGATTTTAGCTACGGGAAACCAGTGAATCCAAGTTTAGGTGAAACACTTTGAAAAATGTCTCCTCTCATATTTAGTACAACACTGTTTAACAATCAAGGAAAGTACTCCTTTTAACTGAGAAAGAAATCAAATCTTCTCTGTCTTTTTGATTAGGATAACCCTGCTCACAGTTTTGATTAGAACAGCCCATACATTTGAGATATTGGATCAATTTCATACATGATAGATGTCTGGAAATCACTAAAACACATAAAACCCCCTCTAACTGGCATTGTGGGAAAAGTAATCATGATGCAACTCTCCACTCACCCAAAAAATGTTATAATCTTTCACAGTTTCTCAGATGTCACTTGTACAATCAATCTCTTGTAGGATGTTTTGCACTTGGATGGTGGTGAATTGTAGTGGACTGTCATTTCTAGCTGAAGTAAAAGTTGTCATTCTTTCTGAAACTCAAAGATAATTTGTTGTTGTTGTTTTAGATGTGTACACCAATATTTTACTATAAAATAACATATTCACATTGGCATACAAGAGACTATGTGAACTTAGTAAAGTATCCACGATAGCAAAGGAACTGACATGCAGATTATGGTAAGAAAATATTTTTAATCTCAAATCTTAGTTCTGTGAGCCAACCATCTTTATTTCTGCCAGTCTGAGAACAAATATTTCAAAACTGGTTCATATTATGTGCTTTATTCTGCCTCAATCATGACCAATTTATACCAGGCCAATTGTGGGAAAACTTTGCACTACATCTTTTTTAACCTTCCCTTTTGAGGATATCCTTTAAGGTTATCTTTGCATCATGGTGCATTTGCCATCACTGTATTACTGTCATCCCATTTTGCTGGAACCAGATTAGTTATCTGATGAGGTATCAATAAGTACAGTTTTGTATTCTTAGACTTTTTCTCTGGAGTGTAGGAACTGAGAGCATTTTTATTATTTTTCCTTAAACTGGTCCAGGTAGAGTACAATCAGCATTAAAATCTTATAATTTAGGAAAATTAGCGAACAAAATTTGCAACGTTTTATGAATAGATTAACAACACAGCAAGCAGAGTCCTGGAAACTCACCAAACACAAAGTCTTATTTTACCCCCAGATGTTTTTCTCCAGTGAATTTTTTTGTGCGTTAGTTCACAAGTGCACAGGAGTGCACTTGGATGCATTCAAATAGATATTCAGTAGTCACTGGTTATTTCTGATATGTAATAATCTCAATACAGAATGAGAGTATCAAATGGCTTCTGCATTAGAAGACTTACAACTGTCAGAATTTATCAAAGACCTATTACAGGAATGGATGTTGTCAAAGTCTGCTGCATATGGTCTTACAAACTTTTCCTGCTATTGTAATTTCTGTGGAAAAGTTTTATTCATCCATTAAATTAAATAAGCAGGAAGGAAGTTCAAAAAACCAGTCCATAACAGGACTTGCAAAATTAATAAGAAATTCCAGGAACCAAAACAAAATGATAAAAACAACCTAAGTAAAAAAAAAAAAAAATTATCCAAGCTTTTGATCATTCTTCAGCCATCCCTCTTGGGACTTGGCTTTACCAACACATCTCTCCAGAAGTTATACTGCAAGGCAATATAGAATTACATTTATGATGACAAAGTAAATTATTCAATAAAGAAATTCAGGTTCCAGTAATGCCTTTTTTCCTCCTAAATTTATGTAGCAGCATATATTTGCACATTGCTATTTATCAGTCTAGTGAGGTTTTTTTAGTATATGAGTGCCTCCTAATGAATAAATAACCAAAATCACACTAAGGTGATGGTATATCTTTCCTTCTACTTAGCAGTTGATTTTAACCTGCTCTTCCCTCATTCTGCATCTACCCAATTTTTCCACTCTCTTTCTAAAAAAAATCACTTATACATTCTTCTTACCCTCTTATTCTTAGTTTTAATTACTTTCCGGAGAACTGTAAAAAAGAAACCAGAAACAGCATTTTTCTTTCATCTTAAAAACAATAATTTTCCTTATGGTAAAAATTTCATATATCAATAGTCTTCTTGGACTGTTGCTGCCCTCCTCACAAGGTAGACTTTGCATTTTACTGAAATAGTTGAATATTCAGCTGTTCAAATAGAAACCAGAATCTAATGATCTCAGCACCCAAAAATGGAGAAGAATCAGTCTGAAACTAATGACTTGTCTCTTTTTTGGCAAGTTTTAAAACAATAATGCAAATATCTGTAAATTTAATTGAGAAAAATAACTATGTATTTTTTAAATTTTGTTATTATTTTATTTCAGAAACAACAATTCTTTCTTTTACCTCTCCTTAGATTCCAAGACTCTGGTCCTTGTTTCTAATTTAACCTAAAGGGAATGATGGAATCTCCTTTTTCTTGCCTGTTTCTCATTAGTAAATAGAGATACCTAAAACAAAAAAATGTAAAGGAAATAAAATTTCTTTTCACTGGAAAAGTTTTACTTAAAATATGGAATAAATTTTATTTGGAAATCAAAGAATGACTAATCTTATTTCTTATGATTTATTTTTTATAAAAGTTCAGCTTTTCCCCCCAGTTTTTCTACTGAATAAAGAAACAATACATTGCAGGAAAGTTTCTTAAAAGTCTTCTGGGTTCAGAAATGGCTTATTGCTAAGACTTATAGTGCAAGATAATAAACTTTTTTTTTTTTAATTTCAGCTTTTACCAGGTTGTAAAGCAGACAGATATATTCATATTGAGACTAAACTAAAAACATATTGGTTTCTTGACTCAGCATATAAGTTGAAGTCACAAAAACGTTATTTTAAAAATCACTTCTTGTTTTTCAGTGGGATTGTCATTGGAGGTAGAATGGTGGTAATCCAGGTTGAAGTTCATCCCCCAAAAAATTGATTAGTTGAAGTAACGAGTCCAAAAGTTATGTAATTTCATTTGCTATAAGTACCATGCAGAATTGTAACTCACCCTTTTTTTCTGCAGAAGACATGAAATAATGTTTTGCCTTTTTGCGTGTCAAGGGATATATGTAATCTATGCATTCAATTACTCAGTTTTTTCTAATCATCCCTTGTTTCCCAAGATCAGATGTTCCTTTTATGACCTTAAGATCTTGATGAAATATTCATAAGAAAGCAACTCCTTTCTTTCTCTTGTTTTTCTGTTTCAATATTTTAGAGAAAAAATCAAAACACAGTCATGCTGTTACTGTTAAGTAATTTCTTAACCTGCAAAGAGACAAGAGATCCACTGTCTGAAAATGGTCAGACACTCTACAAAAAACAGCTGGAACCATTAGAAGACACAACTAGTTGGGAAGCTCAGGCAGCAGAACTTGTAAGAAAATCTTTGTATATTAATTATTTGTTCTGTATTATATACTATCTTTGAAAAATTAATTCCATCTATCACATTATTCTAAACAATGAAGTCTAAAGGTTTACAGCCCAATAAACACACCTTTAATTCTGAAACTTCTATTGTTTTCATTTTCCATTTTGTATGAATTCACATCCCAAAATGCATTATTGTCTTAAAAGGAATGCTCACAATGTTAAATGGCAGATAAGACAAAAATGAATGCAAGAGAGTGGAAAGATGGGAGATATTTATTTGTGTTTGTAGTGCTATGTGTGAATGCTCAGTTCTGTCTTGCTTCTTCTCAAAAAGCAAAAGGAACATTTACAGTGTGAAAAAATATTAATGACAATAGCACTAAATAATGACACCTGCTTTTGGATACTTTTTACAGCAGCACCATACTACATTCTTATCAGGGAATGGTCTAGCTGGCTGTTAATTTTTTTTTTAATTTCCTGAGGTTTATTTTTTTAGCCTTAATTTTATTCTGATATGAGCTTTTGAACATCACCTTAGTTTAAAATTCAAGTATATGCTGTTAAGTGACAAAGAAATAAGACATAAATGCACAGGATAAGTCCCAGTGTAAAACAGTTTTTCAGCTTATCCAAAAGACTTCCTCACTGACATGTTGCCTGCACTGTGGGGAAGCAGATACCTGACAGAGTTTGGGCTTTTTAAACATTTTATTATGATGTTGCCATTAATTTAGACACTTTCCTTATTGATTGGCAGCATTGTTTGTGATGGGGAGTGTAATTCCTGCACTGTTAGATTCTGGGAAACTTCCATTTACCTCAGCAGAGCAGTCCGGAACATTGACGCAGCTACATGGTACCTGGCAGAGTTCATCTAGGAGGTCTGGAGGAAAATCACTACTTGGAATCATATTTTCTTGTCGACCAATCTGTAGCAAAAGACCAGCATTTCAAACATATGCTCGTGACATAACTTATTTTAGGTAGATAAAAAGATGAAGACATTTTAGGTATGTTGTTTACTCAGAAAAGGTAATTCGCTTACAAAAATTAACTTTGCTAGTAAGAATTTCAGAGTTTCATTTTTTAATATAAATATTTGGTTAATAGATAGAAAAGGTATTTATTTTCTCTTCAGTTGGCTCTCTTTTCTAGGATTAGTATAGCAAGACAGATGGTTGATGTCATCTTTACTTGGAAGAACTCAGCTGGCAATAATAGCATGGTACATTTCTGGGGATTTGCGGTACTGTATGTCATGAAGTCGTTTTCAACCAAAAAGAGTCCAAAAGGGAATTCCCAGAAGTAAATATCTGCCTATGATATCCTACTGTGTCTTGTTGATGCATCACAAGCAGAAGGAATCATAGAGTCTTTATAAAACTCCATAAATATTTACAATATTGTTGAAAATACATTGGAAATGCTACAGATTGCAAATGGTATGGGCCCCCTTGGCACTGTAACTTTGATTTTGCTGTTGAGTGCGAATAACAAAAACTGGTGATTTATATATATCAAAATCTGTTATGTATATATTTGAAGTTCAGTGATTTTTGTCACATTTGACATTCATGTGTAATAGAGTGAAAGCATTAATATTAGTAGAATGTAGATACGCTGGTTGATTGTTTTTCATTTTGCTAATGATTGCTGTGATGAGTAGAATAATGTCAGGGTCGGAGGGTTAAAGTTAATGAGAGCTTTCTATTGCACCATTGATTAATGGTGGAAACCGTGGTGACAGATTTTCAGATTCCTCCTATATAAAAACAATAAAGGTAAAAATGATGCCAATTTAAACACTTTGACCATCTACCAAAATGTTTCTAAACTTGTCAAAGTGACATCTAGGCCTGACAAAAATTATGTGAGAAATTATATAAAAATATTTAAATTGTATCAGATGCTTGTAATTATATTAATCAAAGCTTGCTTTTTAAATCTACACTTTCTCTATCTGCACTAGGTTAAACCATAAGAGATTTTAAATTCCTCTCCTAAATGCATGTTGAAGAGTACACTTTCTAAAGGCAGAATAATAGAATATATTGTAGCATAATATATGTTTTGATATTATAATATGATTTTTTCAATAGGTGACTTAATAATTAGGATTTAAATATGTTGACTCCAGTTGCTCTCTGTTACCTCCTAATCCAAGAAAAGACTTTACTGACTGAGTTTCAAAAACAGAGGGGTACTTCCATAAAGCTCCAACTCTCATTGCAGAACAGAGATACAAATGCAAGAAAGCAGATCAATGTCCATAAGAAACTGAGAAAATATTTTTGACAATTATTTTCCACTTCAATGCTTTTTACTACTCTGTGTCACAATGAGAAAGGAAAGAGAGACTGCAAGGCAATGAAAAAAAACCACAAAGACCAACCCACCCTCAGCCCCAAAATTTAACCTTTCAAAAGTGTCATCTTGTCAAACAAAATATATATTTTTTTAATTCGGCTAAGAGTTTTCCAAAATATATACTTTTTTTAGCAAAGACTATCATATCAGAGGTAGTGTATGAGAGAATTTAATGACTTAAGACAAATGTCTCTGCTTGTCATATTAACCTATATTTATATACTTAAGAAATGCACAAATAAAATATGACCATGACATTTATATGAGAATTTTTATTCCTTTCCCATTTTTTATTAGGAAATAAAATTAAATGGCTGTATGTACCATGGTGAAGAGAAGTCAAATCTTGATCCATCACGTAAACATTACGGACAATGAATGATAATTGACCTATGGTACCTATTAGTACCAATGTAAGCTTTACCCATTATATGAACAAATTTGAGAAGGGCTGTAATAAAGCAGTATAAAGCTGTTAAGTTCCACTGTAGCTATGCTGATAGTGCACTGAAGAGACCATCATATGCAGCAACATGGAAAATAGTAGGCTGGTAGGATTTTTAGTGCTTTTCTTTTGTAGTACAGTGTACTTCTTTCCTAAGTATGATTAAATAATCATAAGAACTCCTCTAAGGGCTAATCTGCGTTATTTCCCAGATTTTCACCTTGGGGACATATTGTCCCTTGTCACTGAAACCTCGGGGACAGAAGGGTACGCTACAGGGTGGCACAGCAGGAAGCTGAGATACTGATGAAACAGTGTTCAGTTAATGAAGGCATGGCCCATGGCTTCTGCTGGTATGCCATATGTTTGAAGAAATGCTAATGACTACAATTCAAATACCTTTTTCATCTTAACTATATGTAAATGTGTTTATAAATGCTCTCTTATAAATATACTATCACATTTTTAAAAGCTAAGTGCTAATGTTTCTTTCAACATCTATAATACACAATAATTAAAACTTTAGCAATTCTGCTTAATTATACCTTATGGGAAACTGTACAGTAATTTATAGAAATTAAGCAGAAAAACAAAGATCAACAGAAATAAAACAGCAGTCTAAGAACTGAATAATAAATCATTTAGATCATTATTTTGCAAAAAACAAGATCATTGTGAATAGATGACTTAGGGCCCAGTTCTCAAACAGCTGAAATTTGCAAGGGAAAGATCAGTTTATAAACTCATGACATTCTATTAAAAAACTCCTTCAGCTAGTTGAACCAATTGTGACTTTTTTGTGCAGTCAGATCATTTAACAAAACTCAAAAACTAGAACTACCGATTTAAGATCAAAAACCAGGGAGATCTTAATTGGGCCGTGGCTTTTTTCTCTTTGCTTTACCTTTGTGAAAACCCTGTAACACCGCGGGTGATCATTAGCCACAAATGGCATTTTGCAGTGAATCATCTTCTCCCCAAGTGGCCAAAACAACATCTCCATTGCAACAGCAGAAGTGGCATTCAGGAAGAGCAGTTGGTGACCAGGTTAACCTACACGGGACATTACTATTTTTGCTGCAAGACAGGACACCCTGTTGCAGTCATAACTGTTCCAAAGAAACTCCCTCAAGATCCAGGTTAAAGCATGGTGGTATTGCTAATCTGGGAATGCAGTACTCACCTTTTTTTTTTCCCCCTCTTAACATAAGTGACTCACTCATATACAAATTTTGCCTAATATCTACTACAGAATTTAATAAATTTAAGATGAAG